CGTCGACCCTCCACCCTACCAAGCATGACATCCTTCTCCAGGGAATGGTCCCTTCTTACAACATGACCAAAATAGGTGAGACAAAGTCATGATTCACAGCAACCCGTCCTTGGGTTTCTGAGGTAGTATAAATATATATTTCAAACAGAAACAAACAAACAAACAAAAAAACTTTTTCTACCCCTTATAGTATCTGGGACACTGCCTAGCATATAGAAGGCAAAAACTATACATTTCTTAGTAGCTGGTTGATGAATGACCAGGTCCAGAAGTTAGGAATAATACTAATAACAGTAAACCTTTATATAACACTTACTATGTGTCAAGTGCTGTTCCACATCTTTTACATGGTGTAACTCATTCAAGCCTCACAACCCTTTGATGTAGTTACTGTTTTCCTCATTTTAAAGATGAGATAGTGTCACAGAGATGTTAAGTAACTTGCCCAAACTCACTGTTCAGCTTCAGAGTCTGTGGTTTTGAGTGCTATGCTATGGTGCATCCTGAACTAAGAATGTGATATTGATCATACATTCATTCATCAAATAATTATTAATGTCCATTATATAGGCAAGATTATATTCATCCATCCAATCACCTACCCACCTACCAAACATTTATTTAATGTTGTTGTGCGCCACACAATGTGCTAACTAATAGATGATACCAAGAAGAGTATGACATGGTCCTGACCTACAGGAGCTTTATTCTGGCAGAGCATTTTATAAAAGCCACCAAAGAATTAGGATGAGGGTACCTGGGAGCACATAGGAGGGACACCGTATGCCTCAGGTCAGTCTGCTGCAGTGCTAGCTCTGTATTTTCCCAGGCAGCAGCACCATGAGAATGATGGAACTGATGAAAAGCCAATGATGCTCACCAAAGACAGGTGTCTTTGGCTCTTGGAGCGAGGCACAAGCTGTATTTGTGTACTGAGTCATCAGTATGAAGAGTCTCTCCTGAGCTCTTCTCTCCTCCCTCAGCTATTTGGAATCAAATGTGGTAATTCCAAAGTTTCAGAGTTTGGGGATTTCAAAGGAATACGATGGCAAGCCTAGGTGACAGTAAAAAACCCAATCCAAACCCACTGCCATCGAGCTGATTCTCATGCATAGCGACCCAGTAGGACAGACGAGAACTGCCCTATAGGGCTGCCACAGCTGTAAATCTTTACAGAAGCAGATGGCTATACCTTTGTCTCATGGAGCAGCTGGTGGGTTTGAATCAGTGACCTTTCAGTTTGCTGCTAGGTAACAGCAGCTGACTATAATTCTGTTCTTGTAGCAGGAAATCAGATGCAAACAAAAGGGAGAAGAATACTTTAGAGATACCACTAGACTCCATGCTTAAAGGGTGGAAGTGAAGTTGCAGACAGTAAGCAAATGGGAATGGAATAAGATCCTACAATTTAACCCAGTCAGGTAGGACATTAGGCAGAAAATTCAGGAAGTGACAATAAATGAGTTGAACCAAAAGGAAATGTGCCCAGGTGTCATCCCCGGAAGAAGGGGCTTCTTTTCATGTATATTTTCTGCCACAGGCATGCATGTCTCTCTTCTGCAGTTCACTTCAGCAGCCCCAAGGCAGTGGCAGGGACAGACTCACCGAAGAATCTGTAATCTCCTTGAGGGTCTGGTCTGATCCAACAGCAAAGATAATTTTGGCATCAGGGGTGATGTTAACGCAGTTATAGCTGCAGGACTTGAGCACACATTCTGTCTCTCTTTTTCCTGTGGTCAGATTCCATTCATACACAGCACCATCTGTGCCACCAGAAATCAGCCTGCTGTCATCTGTGTTCCATACAATTGAACGAATCTACAGGGTATGAAGACATATCCAGTTAGAGCATGCACACACACATACACATGCACACACACCAACATGGGAGTCAGTTGCTCAAATGTTCCACTAGACCAAGGCAGAATGTCCTTTCCTGATCCATGTTCTCCAGTAAGCACAAAGCACAGCTTCCTGGGAATGTTTACATTCTGTTTTCTACAATGCTTATAAAATATTGAAGATGAAATGTTTTCATTTCTTTTTCACTTTATGAATATAAAAAAGAAAACAGAATAGTTTCTATAATGTTACAACCAATCAATTATTGTTACATTTAAAATTTAGAAAATATTTAATATTCACAGGAAGCTGCAAAAATAGTTCAGAGAGAGGACTTCTGGAATGGCAGAATAAGGAGCTCAGCTGACCCTCTTTTCAACAAAAAAAGTTAACTGGTAAAAATTGTAAAAGCAATCATATAAAGTCTCTGAAAACTGTTCTAAGGGTGTACAGCAGATGGAGAAACATTCATTCAAGAAAATCTACTCAATCTCGTTAAGGACATCTGTAGTATTTGAGCCATGACCTGCTCCTTTACTCTTCCACTTCTGGAAACATTATGTCTGTGTGCTCTACTCCAGGCCAGGTATGCCCAAGAAGATGGGGACTTCCCCAGTCCCCAGTTTTGGGTTATGGTTTCATCCTAAGAAGGGAAGGCTGATGGCATTTCTCACCTCCACCCCAGCCCCATGTTACAGAAGCTCTATTCCAGGCAGGTGTGGCCAAGAAGACAGGCTCTCACTTCCCCTGTGTGGCCCCACAGGTAAGGTAGAAGCTCTACTCCAAGCTTCATAGGCCATGACTACCAGGCCTCTACTTGCCCTGCTCTAGCTTGCTCATAGGGTGGAGGTCACACCATGAGAGAAAAGCTGAGAAGACCAAGGGTTTCCACCTAACCTCCACTCCCCAAAGTGCTCACTCATAGAGTAGGGATTGTTACTCTTGGAAAAGCAGGTCCCTGAAAGCCCTATGGTACACAGTTCTACTCTGATATACACAAGGTTGCCATGAGTTGGAGTCAACTGCAACTGGTCACCCTGGTTGTTCCCCATCTCTGATGCGGTTGTGCAAGGGTTCTGCCCAGAGATAAATGAGGCTACAAACCAAAGAGCTTGTAGAGCTCTTCCAGACAGACTAACTTTATTTGAAACAGAGTATGGAGAACTTCATGCCTATGGGTGTTGTCTGAAACAATGGAAATATTGGTAGAGAGCAATTAGGAGATGCTAGTAATCCCATGGATACAAGCAAAATGGCATAGTTTGTGAAGGAATGGTTTGTATTTTTCTTCTTGAGTCAGTTTTGGTAATTTGTGTCTTTCTAGGAATTTGTAACATCACTATGAAACGTTCTTATTTATCTCTAGAAACTTTATTTTAAAGTCTCTTTTATCTGATATTAATATAGCTACTCCAATTCTCCAGTAAACAAATGAGGAGGGAACACTTACCAACTAAATTTATGAGGCCAGTACTACCCTGATACCAATAGCAAAGACATCACGAGGAAAACCAAAGACAAGAAAACTAAAGGGCAAGATGGCGGACTAGCCAGAAAGACTGCACAGACCCTCTTCAACAAAGAAAAGGGAAACCAATTAACACAGACACAGAAGATAATCCTGGACCCCTAAACCTTGAAGGGAAGGATATAGAAGTGGACTAAACCCCAACTAGCAGAGGAATTTGAGTGAAAATACCAAAAACGGAGACGGAGCTGCGGTCTGGGAGCAATCCTGAGCGATCCTGATGGCACAGACAGCTTGGAGATTCCCGAGTGGTGGTAGGATCTAAGAATTAACCTAAAAATCACCCTGCTAGCCAGGGACTGCACGGAGGACTGTGCATGGTGGCTGGGGCACAAATGGAGAAGGTGAAGAGAAAGGTGGGCTGAACTGTGGACTTTTGCTGGTCCAGAGGGTGCCACCATTTTGAAGGTTTAAAAAGCAGCTTGACTATTTTGGTTATTTAAAGAGCACTCTCGCAGATTCCTGGGGCTTAAGAACACATTCTGCTTTCCAGCAACCCCAAGGACACTCGGGACCTGCGAGACTGACAAGGTACGAGATTCCTCTTGTTACTCTTAAACCCCGCACCTGCTTGGTGAATAGTGCAGCCATCAACCACTCCCACCTACCTTCTGGGCCCACAGGAACTCCATTACAGTCTGTGTGCTCAGATGGAGCCTGGGTGCCCTGCTGTCTCCTCCACCAATTTTTTTTTCTCTTTTTTTATTTTTATATTTTTCTTTTTCACTTTCTTTTTTTGGTGATCAGTTTGCTTGCATTTGTCTGTTTTAAAACTACTAATATCACTAATACTTTTTTCCTTTTTATTGTTATTCTTAATCTTCCTCTTCCCAGGTCCTATATTTCAGCATTTTTCTTTTCCCCGTGCCTGGTTGAAATTTTTTTTTTTTTTTTTAATTTAAGGGTTTTCTTTTTCTCTCGTGGTTAACCCTGTTCCTTGATTTTCTTTTTGCATTTTTCCCATTTTTTTTCATTTATTATTCTTCTCTACTTTTTTTTTTCTTAGTGCCCTCTCCTCAGATATTGTAGGTTTTCTTGTTTTTTCTTCTTTTTTTCCCCTTTTTCTTTTTTTTGGTTACTGTTCCTGTGTGATTACATGGTGTATTTTTCATCCACGGGCTTTTAGTT